GGCACGCGCTGCAGCCTCCAGCGCGGAGCTTCGACCGTAACTTTCTGTACAACGTAGTTACTACTGAGTGGGACCGCCGGGATCCTGCAGTACCGCCCCTTTCGTACGAGAGGATGCAAACGTGGGCTGGAAACAGGCGTCAGCCCCAGCAATTCGCCCGGCCTCGGTTGGAGGCTACGAAAGAAACCGGAGGGCGTGGGGTTTCCTCGCAGGAACCTGATGAGCCAGACAAGTTGGTACCGCCTGAGCTGAGCCAGCTGGCCGTGAGCTGGTACATCATGAGTGCAGTGACAATTGTTTTCTTCACGCTTTCTTCACACGCTGCCTGTGCGCAGGATTGACACGAGCGCTCCCTCTTCGTCCTGGAGACAGCAAAGTACGTTGTAAAATACCAAGGACTACGGTAAGTAGGAAGCCGATACGAAGGCGCAGTCTTTGACCCGCGTCCACCCGCTGGGACCTGGAGTTCTGGATCACTTAATCAATTAATCGAAAGGCTGAAGTTTTGGGGAGAGAGAAGGAAGTTCTGCAAGTCTGGGGGTGGGATCTGTAGTGGCACCGGCCGTTTGGGTACTATTGGTCGGTCTTTCTCTAGCGTCCTAACGAGAGCGGGCGGCTCGGCGTAGTTCTGAGCACCGCCGTAACCGACGACCGCCCCGTAACCGAAGGGGACTTGTTCGGGATTTGAACCCACGCAGGCACCACGCTCAGCTCTGGAAACAGCCCGAAGGGATTGTGAGCAATGCGGACACAAGAGTCATTTCCCATTCCGGCGGCCAGCCCTCCGCCTCCGAGCAGGGACAGCGGGACCCGGGCAGCACCGGGACGCTGCGGCCTCCCAGCTCCTGGCAATCCATGCGGCTCAGCTCCAGGAACGATCACAGCGGGACGGTGGGGAGGAGGAGGAGGAAGAAGCACAGTTGACCTCGTGCCCTGTACACTCGTAGGGCAAACGGCCTCTTCAGGGGCATTTTCCCCACGGATTAGTCCAGGAAATAAGGTCTCACAGGTGGTATTTTTCCCTCGGCAAAGGGGAATGGGTGCTGGAGGCGGCCGTTCCTCAGTACATGTGAGCTCCTCTCCCCTTCCCTTCTCCCTTCTGCTCCAGTTTATTTCAACGCTTTTTTTAAGAGCCACTTAAAACTGCTCCCTGTAATAGAAACGTCACTTTTTCCTCACAGTATTTATTCCTTATAAAATCTTGTGTGACATGCTAGGTTCCCATGGATGTAGCTGATCATTTTTATTTTGTAAATATAATTACCTAACTTTACATTAACTATATCGTAATAAACTATTTTTGCACCACCCTTTGCGTGCTGTGTAGCGAGGTGGTTTTTTCCGACAAGGACACTGCTACAGAAAGAAGGGAGCAGCGGCCACAGCCTGAAAACGTGCGAGCTGATTGCTTTTATAGTCACACTTCACAAAGAAAAGGCGACAGGTAGCATTTTAATAGCACTAAGATGTTTAAAGTAGTGTAAACGTAACACTGCTGAGCGGGGTTTATTAGAGAACAACCTTCTTCAGCTTCTTCCATAGTTGCCTCAGCACAGAGCGGTAACGCTTTTCCCCCCAGACCCACGCCAATGTCCTCGAACAGAACAAAGCACATCTGCAATCTGGTGATGTTATTCCCCGTATATAACACCGAAGGATGCACAGGAAATTTTCGTGATTTGGATCTTTGGAACATCCAGCCCCCAAGGACTGCCCGGGGTGCAAAAACCAGAAGATGGTGTCAAGTTTTTCTGTGAAAAGGGTTTATTTAGTAGTGCAAATCATAGCACTGCTGTCAAGCAAAACTGGTAGCAAAACGTTCAGACCTTTATTCATTTGAGGCCCTTTAGATGATTCAGTATAAAGTTCTTACACAGAAGCTATTGACATTCTCAAGTTTACCCCCATCTTTGTTCCACCCTGAACTGCAGGGACAGAGCTCTTCCCTCCCTCCCTCTTGCTATCCACATGCTGTCCCCCCAACCCTGCTGCTGCCAGCACCGGAGGCGAAGGCCACCGCACCA